GTAGTGGCTCTTCAGCAGGTTGCACACCCGGCGAGTCCCGTCGTTGAAGTAGTCTGGATGGTACATGTACAGCACCCGGTCGAGCTTGCTCTGCAAGAAGGCGTTCTTCATGTCGAGCTGCATCACGTTGAGGTTGAGGACGGCGACGATGCTGAGGAAGATCCTTAGCGTGATGTAGCTGCTCACCGGCGCATACGTCTCGTCATAGTCAGCACCATACACCTGCGTGAAGCCCTTCACGACCAGCCTTGCCTTCTCGCGCTCGACGGTGTCGTCGATGTGGTATTTCGTTGTCAACACCCACCGGTTCTTCATGATGTTCACCCCCGGCGGGCGTTCGACCAGCTCCCACGTCCCCATGCTGATGAGGCTGCGGATCTCCTCTTCCATGGCGGCCTTCACCGCCACGCCCCTCCTTCACCGTCATCGTCGAGATGTCCCAACGGTGCTCGGGGTCGGCGTGCATGTCGGGGTCGAGCTCTGGCAGGTCGTCATCTTCCTCATCGTCATCGTACGCCAGATCATTGGCGTCCACATCGTACACCGTGGTGAAGGCAGCGGGGACGAAGAAGTCAGGCGGCCTCCGAAGTCGGCCCGTACGTTGTGGTCCACCCTGGACTTCCACCACGTCGCTGTCGGTAGACTCCTCGGCCTCCCCTCCATCGTCACTGTCATTGCTACCCTCAGCGTCCTGCTGCACCACGGTCGGCGTCCCCGCCGTCTGCTCCCCTAAAGTCAACTCCCCTGCCAACTGCCCGGTTGTCGACTGCTCGGTGGTCGGCTTTGCTGCTGCCTGCTCCTTTGTCGGCTGCTGCCGTGCCGCTGCCCCCTTTGCCGACTTCACCATCGTCGGCAGCACTTCCTCGGTCTGCTCCTCCCCTGCCGGCGTCGACATCACTCTCATGTTAACTTGCTGGACGTCACGACGGCCACCGGCAATGCTTTTGGTTGGCACATTAGGCGACGCCCCACTGCTCCCCTCATCGCCGGAGGCCGACAACGGAGTCAGCCTACGCAGGTCGGCTACAAGGGGAGGGACAGGAGGGGCAGGGGAGGGAGAGGGGGAGGGAGAGGGGAAATCCTCGACGTCCTCAGCAGTAGGCTCACCGGCCTCGGCGAGTAGAGGGAGCGTCGCTGTCGAGGTGTCAGTCGGCGGGGTGGTTGGCGTCCGCCCCGACGCCGGCCCGTGCTCCGACTTCCACACCTCGAGCAACATGTTCTCGTAGAACACCACGTCCGACGTGGTGACTACCCGGTTGTCGGCGATGTCGAGGAGCTCCCAGCCCTTGCTTTCCTCCAACACGCCGAGGTGAAGGCCCCACCTGGCCGTCGGCTTCAGCTTTCCACCACGGTGCTGCTCGGGGACCAAGAACTGCGCCATGCAGCCCTTGACCCTTGCCAGCAACAAGTCGGGCTTCTTCCCGATCAGCAGCTGGTATGGCGTCGTCCCCCGCTGCAGCGTCTACCGCTCCAGGCAGTTGCGGACCCAGGCGGCCTGCCGTAGGGCGAGATGCTACCAGTGGTGCTGCACGCCCATGTGCAACAGCATTGTACGCACCGACTCCACCACTGTCCTCATCTCGCGCTCCGCCATGCCGTTCTGCTACAGGGTGTAGGGGCAGGTCAGGTCGTGGATGATCCCCTTTCCGTTCACGAAGTCGGTGAACTGCTTCCCGAGGAACTCCCCTCCCTGGTCAGAGCGCAGCATCAACACCAACTTCTTTGTCTGCCACTCAGTCACCGCCAACCACTGCACGAACTCCTACAGCGCATCCGACTTCTTGGCGACCGGCCTCACCCACACGTAGCGGGTGTTGCGGTCCTTCAGTAGCAAGAAGTACAGGCTGCCATCCTTGGCAGCCACCTGGAATGGCCCGCACAAGTCGACGTGCACGACGGCCAGCACGTCGTCGGCGTCGGAGCCCTGGTCGGGGAAGGTGTGCCGCGCCAGCTTCCCGCCGACGCACGAGACACACGGCAAGTTGGCACCAGACGCCGACTTGAGGTCCAGCCCAGTGGCGACCTCGTGCTTTGCCGAGCTCCGGATGGTTTTCATGCCGACGCGTGCAAGCCTTGCATGCAGCCTGTCCGGCGTCGACTTTGTCACCGAGACGATCGCCCGTAGGGCCACGACCTCCGTCGTGGGCGTTGTCGACTTCGCCGAGCAGGGACGCAGGTCAGTGCAGAGGACTTGCCCGATGTAGGACGCTCGACCGAGGACGTCTCCCGCCGCCGAGACAAGCAACATCCCGTCGCCGTCCTCTTGTAGCTTCACGCCATTCTCCTTCAGCTGGCCGGTCGAAAGCAGGTTTGCTCGCATGCCCGAGACGTAGAGCACGTCGGGGATTAGCACCTGCTTCCTGGCCTCCCCTTGCAAGGCGACCGTGCCTCGGCCCTGGACGTCCTGCAGTGCCCCGTTGAAGCCACGCACGTGCTTGACATCGCCACTCAGCCCCAAGTTGACGAAGGCGTCCTTCGTCCCCATCAGGTGATGCGAGCAGCCGCTGTCAAGTAGGACCACCTCCGGGTTTGCCTGCATGGCCGACGCCATCGCCTGGAAGTCCTCGCCAGCCTCCGGTGCCAACGAGACTGTCGGCTTCCTCCTTCTCGACTGCTGTCCTTGGCCAACTTCCTCTTGTATGTATCCTTGGTCGGCTTCCAGCCATTGCTACCACCGCCGCCAGACTGTCCATGCTGCCCTGGTTGACCACCTTGCTTCACAGTTTCGACGTAGTTCACCTGTGCTAGGAGCTCCTGGGACCATTCAACCTCCTGCATCACCTCGTCCTACAGGATGTACGAGGTCAAGGTGTCCTCGTTGAGCGTCGCCCGCGTGCTCGGCGCCATCGACAACCACTTCAGTAGGTTGTAGTTGCTCGGGAGTCCCTGCATGACGTGCGTGATGTACAATGCCGGGAGTACTGCGCGCCGGCCATACGTATGGTGGCGAGAATTCTCCGAGCTCGGTTGCAGTAGTCGGTCGCAGTCTCCTGGTCGCCCATCCGCAGGTGCGTCGGCTGCCCTTCGAGCTGGCCGATGAACAAGTCGTCGGTGACCTGGTAAGTCGACTCGATGAAATGCCACGCCCGGTGGCCGGCGTCGAGGTGCTCCCTGCACGACTTCAAGGCGATCTGCACGCCCGGCAAGCAGCACCGCGAGATGATCGTGAAGGTCAGCAACTGCACAGCGCGAAACTCCGTACGCAGATCGGGGTCCTCCGACGTCGCCACGGTACCACGGGCAAAGCCAATCAACCCGGCCATCTCCAGCTGGGGCTCGATGGCTTCCTTCCAGTTGAGGATATCAGGTCGACCAACAAGCAGGGGGGTGACCGAGATCCTGTCCGGCGTAAACTTGAAGTAGACGTAGCTCGGTGCAATCCCGCCCGCTGTCACGTGGGTCGCCGACATCGGCGACAAACTGCTTCGTCGACCTCCGAGGTTGCCTTGCGAGGAGCTTGCAGTCGCCGACGACCGCACTCCTCGCGCCTGAACGCCGCCGACTTCATCGGCGTGAATCACTCCTCGCTGCCTCGACGTGCCTCCCGCACTGCTGCCGACTTGACCACCACCGGCGTTGACGCCTGCGTCGACGCCGCCCTCAGTGTTCACCGGTCGAGATGAGACAGGCCAAGAAGGGTGCTCCGTTGCCCACTCGGCACGGATGCCAGCCTCAACGACCGCCCAGGGCAGGTCGCCATACTCGTTCGCCTCGTGACGTCTCCTCGCATTCTCCAACCGTGCCTCCAGGGTGTCCACCACCCTCGTGTCAACTACGGCGCCTACCATAGTGACCACCGCACAGCTGCCGGCCTACAAACACAAATTAGGTAAGTGACAACTACGTCAACCTCACTGAAAGGTAAGTCGTGTGCCGTCCACGCTCACCGCACCATGCGGATATAACTCTATCAATGGGAGCTAGACTACGGGCTAGGCACGGGGTAGGAGGGATCTCTGCGTTCGTTCACTTAGTCGTTCTCTAGCACTTGTGCGTTCATAGGGCAAAACCGCAAGAGTTTCACTAGCAAAAGTTGAGAACAAAAAGGTACAATCAAGTTGGCAAGACAAGACTGTATCAGAGCTAGCATGCAAGCAGGTCGACTGCCAGCGCAGCTTGGTCGACCGCGTTCGAGCACGACTTGGTCGACCACGCTCCAGCAGTGCAAAGTTGCGGCTTGCCAACACTGCAAGTCGACAGCGTACCAACGTTGCATCCGCAAAACAGCAGCGCACCTGCTCCGCAGGTGCTCGCAGATGATTGGCGCACTGTGCCTTGTCACCTGCACAGCGCACACACCAAATCAACCTGGCGCTGAAGACTGCACCTGATCAGCCACGTCGACCTCGTGATACCACACCGAGGTCGGCCTCGCCACTAACACTTGGGTGACTGTTGCGTGCCTCCGTAGAACTTCGTCGTCCGGGTAACTTGGTCGATCGGGCAACCATCTTGTCGACCAACTTCTCCTCGTGCCCGTCGACCTCATTAGTCGACGACCACCTTCATTCGACCACACCAGGTCGATTTCACTCCTGGTCGGCCAACTCCAGGTCAGCCAGCACACCTGTCAGCCGACCACCCACGTCGACTTCCCCAGGTTGGCGTCGCCAAGTCGACGTTCCGAAGTCGGCGCCTTTCATCCCAGCGACATGCTACTTGACGTCCCCCCTGTCGAGGCCGACGTCGGCCCCTCCTCCGTCGACCACCAGGTCGACCACCCCAAATTTGGCACCCAGAAGTCGGCACCAATGCAGTGGCCCCGGCACAGGTTGACCACCCTCGTCGACCAGCTCGCCCACTGCTGCAGGTCAGCTTCAATCTCCCGTACACCCGACCACAAGGTCGGCACCGCCCAAGCGAGGACGAGGCCACACCCAACTCCCGTTGACACTCCCCATCCCCCCCTTTCCCCCACTCTACTGCACGTGTAATACTATCTTGATTATTACAACATTTTCCACGTCCCTGGCATCACGAATTGCAACGCTATGCCTAAACTACCTCCTCCATTTCTCCGGCACAGGCGCCCGTGCCTGCACACTGAGCTCCACCAGCGCTGGCACTCGGCCATAAACCGCCCTCAGCTCGTGCAGCAGAGGGGGACCAGAGGGGTGGCGTGTGTGGAAGACTGCCACAGGGGGGAAGAAGGTCCGAGAGCACTGCCAGCTGCCAGCCGTGCTGCCCGTGCCGACACTGCTACTTGGAGGCGTTGCACAGGCGCACCTGGGAGCAGGATGGGCAGAGAGAGAAGGGGGTGTGTGGTGGGCTGTGAAACTCTGCTGATTCGCGCGTTATGGCAGGGACCGCAACTATCTGCCTGCCTTGCTGCCTGCCTACCTTGCTGCTGGCAGTGCCATTGCTTGCTGAGCTACAATTGAAGATGCAACAAAGCATCTGAGAGTGCAACACAGCACGTGAACAAGCAACAGAGCACCTGAGAATTCAACTGGGCATTTGAATAACACAACAGGGAACCTGAAACCATTCAACATAGCAAATAGGGCATCCGGAATCGCAAAAGAGCACTACACAACACAGCACCTAAAAGCAATGCATAAGAGGAGAATTAAAGTAGGTTAACGAGTGACCTCCAATACACAACAGGTCGGATCATTAATAGCAACCCATGGGGACCCATGGGGGGCACAGAGCAGGCTACGGTGGTGTTGCTGCTGATTCGTTGACCTTGCACAAGTAGCCCGCCCTGTGCCCCCTATGGGTCCCCATTCTCCCGCATGCTCTCACTTGCCTGCCCATGCCCCACCATGGTCTCCCATGCCCCGCCATACCTACCCATGCTACCCATTACGCCCCCATGCTCCCCATTGCTCCCCCCATGCTTCCCATTGCGGCCCCCATGCAACCCCATGCTCCCCTGAGCCCCTGCTCCCCATGCTCTTACCACGTTATCCATCAGCTCACCTTGTGCCCGGCAGCACCCACGTGCACCTAAGGGTGGTATCCGCACACCATCACAGGGTACTTGCCCATCAGCCTCTCCACGCCTTCCCTCACCTCCTCCCCCTCCCTCAACGCCATCAGTTTCTCGGCTCCTTCCCCATCCCCTCTGCCCTCTTCCTTCTCCTCCTCCTCTCCCTTCCATTTCTTCTTCTTATCCGCTTCAATATCACTTCTCCTGTCCAACCCACTTTCACTCCTGCCCCGATCGCCCTCCTCCCCCTCCCTCATGCTCCTACCCTCTTCCATGAGCCCCCTCCACCCCTCCTTCCCTCGCCACATCTTACCCTAAGACCCCTCATCCCACACCATCTCCGCCCCCATTGCTTCCATTTCAGCCATTTCTAGAATCGCCTTCACCTCATCCCCTCGTCCGCCTTATAAGCTCCCCTACTAGACACTCTCAATGTTGTTTCTGTCTCCAAGCCTGAGACCCAGTCCTGGCCAGTAACGGGCCTGGTGGTTTGCACAGGTTCGATTTGGCGCACGGTGCGCAGGCCAGGGAGGTCCACACCAGCCTGAGGGGAGGGCAAGGGGAAGGGAGAGGAGAAGACTTCAAAACTCACCTGAAAACTTATATGAACATAAAGAATGACCCGAGCCTGAAGAGTTACGTGAACCTGGAAAACCGTTGAACATGAAGAATCACTTGAATGTGAAGAATCATCTCACTGCAACATTGCAACATTGCATCTGTAAGTCGAGGCGAGCAGGATCGGTTGGATACAAGAGACAAGCAGGCAAGGAGAGGGAGGCTAGAAGAAATGAGTTGATGACACGATATTATTTATCACAGGGAGGACCACGGTCTGAGCTTACCGCCTGGCGCACAAGAAGGAAGCGACGTGAAGTTTGGGTGACTTCTCTGGGATCCTGTAGCCGTGATTAGGTAATGCGTCAGAGGGGGGAGTGACCTGAAGATCAAGCTCAGGCCCCCAAACCTAGAGTTGGATGGCAGATTCAGCCAGAAATTCCCTTTTATATTAGGAAATCACTGCTGGGAAATTAGCTGGTAGGAAAATCAAACATGATCAAGCTGCAAACCTTCTCTCGTTCTTTGGTTATTAGAAACAAGCAGTTGCGTACCAAATGACCAATTGCTGACTTGAAAACTGTAAGGAAACAACTTTTCCTCAATTCGTGTCAAATAGAATATCACGTACAGGACTATTCCTACCACTATGTACCCACAAGTAGCCAGTTACCACCTCGCCACACTCGCCTCGACAGTGTTCCCGCAACTACGACTCTCGCGCCCAAATCACCCGGCTCGGCTGCTAACCCACGATCCGGTCCTATGCCTTGACATTTCCCAACCCCGGTATTGGGCCCGTATGGCACCCTTTTCGCGAGCGCGTCACCATTGCCGAAATACTTCCGCTATTTAACAATTCGCTCATGCCTTCGTTTATTTTATTGGATGCTTCGATACTGCAATTGTCACTCGATCACTAAATTACTCTCGTAACACTTGGTATACAGATCCACAGCCCTTTTCGGATCGCGCACACCTTTGCTTCCCATCTTATTACATTTGGGAGAGAGGGGGTGGGCGGGGGGGGGGGGGGGGGGGGGGGGGTGTAGACGTCCCTCAGCACTGAATGTCGCTGCTCGTGTGCTCTCTCGTAAGCACACATAGCCACGACCAAGAGTGCCGATGAGCCAGCTCAACGCCCCCGCCATGGACGCCCGCATTTTGCTCGAAGGGCTTACCCAGGAGCACCTTACTCGCCAGCTACACGAATCAACGCTCGGGAATCGCCACATTGACGACGGAGCGCGATTCACCTCAACAGTCGACGTCAAACACTCGTGCACAAGTACCAGCAAAAGCACCAACTGAAGCACCTAATACCAACACCGCGAGGACGCCTTCTGCGTCACGTCACAACAGCATGGGTCAGTGCTCAGCCGTAGCCAGTGATGGCGCCGCCAACATATGCTGGGCATGGAGCGAACCAGGGAAGTACCGGACATAAATACACATTGCGAAAATTGCAGTCACGCCAGTATTGCGGTGACAATCGGCAACAATGACGTCGTCGAGCCGATGCCACAAAGCTGTAGCGCCCGCCTTGTTCCGACCCAAGTCAACGTGGGCGTCCGACGGCTCAGTCGTGGGTGTTCACGATGAGCATATATTTTAACATCAATTATGTCACGCCAGATGCAACAAAGATTCAGTACGCCATCTCTCTGCTGCGTGGGCCCGCCATGGCTTGGTGGCAAGCTATCGTAACCTCGCCAAGCAACTACGGGCCACTACCACAAGGGGAGAGGCCCTCGAGGCCGGATGTTACCTAGAGCACTTCGTTATGCGAAGTTGCCCAATACCGCACTTGGGACACATGGTGCGAGGGCTACGGGTGCGCTTCGAGCCAATCGTGACTTCGATCTCAGCATACCAAAAGCTGCGCACTTGACGACAGCTTGGGTCGGTTCAAGATTACACCGCGGTTTTCTCACGCCATTCTAACAGGTCGACTACATGCACGGCGGAGAGACTGGATCGCTACGTTGGTGGCTTGAAGCCGGAAAACTCGCAGGAAATCCTCCTACGTGGGATCTCGAAATTCAATGAAATCGTGGCACTCGCCGAGAAGATTGAAATCCTACGACGACTGAGGCAGGATTCCGACCACTATGGACAACGCACCCGAGGAACGACCGATTATGCTACGGTACACGCCGTTGCCAGAAATGCAACTGTCATGCCGTTTTGAGGACACTGCTTCGCGTATGCTGGGCCATCGTAAGAGAGAGTGCCCTGAGGAGCAGAAACGCCAAGGAGCAGAGCAGGGGAGAGAGTATGGGAGGCAGGGAAACGCTAGCAATCAGTAGAGTACGGGCCCACTACTGACGAGACTCAATGCTCGCCCGACCCCACTGACCTCACCGAATGACTGTACCAATAAGGAGGGTACAGCGACAGATTGCCCAGTACTAATTCACGGGAAAATGCAGGGGACAACCGTAAAGCTTTTTATCGACGAAGGGGCTAGCCACAGTTCAGTTAATACCGCCAGTGCAAGGAGGCTGCATCTGATACTTAGTCGTTGTTTACATGAGATCGACGTACGTCTGGTTTTCGGCACGCCACTGGCAATACGAGAAAATGTGGACAGGGTGAAGATTTGATGTGGGGGAATGCTCGGGTCTACACAAGAATTGCTCGCGACAACATGGGATGGGACCGATATTTTACTAGGACCGTGAATCGACCGTTTTGACTGACAGAACCCGAGCTAGAGGAACTCAAGAAGCAGGTGGATTATTTACTCGAGAAAAGGTTCATACGACCGAGTTCGTCGCCGTTCGCCGCACTAATACCGTTCACATCGAAAAAAGACGGAGGGTTTCGCATGTGCATAGATTACCGAGCATCAAACCGGGTTACAGTGAAATCGCAATATCCCATTCCACCACGTCAAAACCTAATCGACCAACTATGTTTTTTTTTTTTTTTTCAAAATTTGATTTACACGTCGGCTACCACCAGATCCGAGTTGAACCAGTAGGCAGCGCCAAAATAACATTTAGTACTAGGTATTGTTCATTCAAGTACACCGTGATGCCTTTCGTGCTGACTAATGCACCTACCACTTTTCAGATGACCATGAACGAGGCTTTTAGGCCGCTCTTAGATAAATGTACGTCGTCTACCTCGATGACGTCCTAGTTTACATCCGGGACAAACAGCATATTTTTGCCGACTTGGAAGAGGTCGTTAAAATTCCAGACGAGCATCGGCTACTCACGAAGGGTTCTTAGTGCAATTTTTTCCAGGACCGGAGTATCGGCAGAAGTTCGGCTCGCTGCAGTTTGCGGCCACCACAACAAGGCCGGACATCACCTTCGCGTGCAGCAAACTGGGGCCCGGCCTAACGACGAGGAGTGACCAGCATTGGCACCAGGTCGACTGCTACCTCGCCTACCTCGCTGACACACGTGACGCCGCCCTGGAGATCGGCGGCGGACCAGAGTCTCTGTGTGGGAGTACGACAGCTGTACCTACATATATTTACCTTATCGTGCATTATCTTGCTCATTCATATTTTCTTGTGCTTGATGTTGCTTGATTTCGTAGTTTTGGTGCTGAACTATAGTTATTATAGTTATAGGCACCGAAATAGGTTGAGTGCACGCGATTCTGGGCTTTTCGGTTGCCACCGAATTGCCTTCTACAGAATTCAGGAAGGACCTGTTCGGGACGCTTTGCGGCCCGCGAAACCTTCTAGTAACATCCGGGTTACTGCCTTTGTGTCGAGCCTATATATAGCCTCGTCTTGTACCCAGGTGATCATATTATAATTTCTGAACCAGTTCCTTCGATCCTTACACGCTGTGTCTGGTCGGCTACGCTGACGACGACGACGAAGGCGACAAGTAGACGCGTAGTAGCACAAATGGCTACTTTTTTTACTTTGGAGGGGCCCTTGGCTCCCGGATAAGCCATTGCATCAATTGCGTGACTCTGTCGTCAACCGAGTCAGAGTACATCGTGGCCACCGAAGCTGGCAAGGAGGATCGCCACCTTAGCTTCCTCCTCGCCGAGTTCCAACAACTGGACGCTTGGACGCTGACCAACCTGAACGTGGACAACTGGTCGGCCATCGCGGTCGCCAAAGGCTTCGGGCTGAAGGGCAACCTCAAGCACATGGAGCGACGCTACGACTGGCTGTAGCAGATGGTGAAGCATGGGAAGATTGCGCTGCAATACATTCCTCACGAAGGCGCTTCATTTTCCGGCCTTCAACAGGTGCTTCATCGCGATCGGCCAAGTGCGTCTGGTCGACATTGGCAACGACGATGACAATGTGCAGCAGTAGGCTAGTGCGGTGGGCAGCGTGATGTGCTGAGTATGCACGCCGACTTTATCCCCTTGTATACAATCTCTTTGGGTACTGTGAGGAGCTTGTGTGCGAGTGCCCAAGCTTGAGCTGGGAAGGGGAGTGTTGACAGGAATGTGGCCCCGCCCTCGCTTGGGCGAAGTTGACTTGGTAGTCGGGTGCGATGGAGGTGCAGCCGGCTGCTCTCAGTGGTCGGCGCCGACTTGGGTCGACAGAGTTGGTCAAATTCCGCGGCACCACTGTGAAGTTGCCGTTGAGGTGAAGTCGGTGGCCGACTTCGACTTAGGCGGTCAACGAAGGAGTTTGTCGACCTGCGGGCGCCGACTTGTGGGCACCGAAGACATTACATGGTCAACCTAGTTACCCAGTCGGCGATGTTTTGCGAGGGTGCATGGACGTCGCCCAAGAGGTTTTGGCGAAGCCAACCTGCGG